GTCACCCTAGAGGAAAAGGGAAGCTTAGCAGGATCGTAGCTGTACTTTGGGGCCAATCCTGGGCGTGTGTGTGTGCGTGCGCGTGTGTGTGTGGTGGTGGTGGTGGGGGGTGTTTGAAAGCTTGTTTTAGTCCAGGCCTGCCAGCCTCCCTCCTGCCCCACTGAGGGTGGTAGGAGCAGGGGAGGGGAGGAAGGGCTAGGAGGCAAGGATGGCCGCTGCCCAGCAGACACGCCAGAGCTGTGGCAGGGGCACCCACCTCCAGCTGGATACGTGGAGTCCAGTTCCCCTCACCCCCAATTTCTTGAGTGCCTGCTTGAAATTCCCCACCGCCTCGCTCCACCGGCCTCTCTGCTGGGCCAAGTGGGCAGCCTGGGCCTGCAGGGTTGTCACCTCCCGCTCCACGTAGGCCGGGCCACGCGCACACCGAGCCGGTCCCGGGCCCTCCAGAGCGCTGTCCGGCAGGTCGTCGCCGGGATGGCCGCACGCCTCAATCCTGCAGCTCCTGCTTTGCCTGGTGCTCCTTCCACAGGGCAGACGGCACAGTCCGCTCCCCTCTACGTTAAAACTTTTCTTACTATGAAAATTTTTTAAAAACGGAAAAGCTAAAAGTAGTACAAAGAAACTTCACATCTACCTACCTATTTCTACCTATTTCTTCCCTTTTTTTTTTTTAAAGATTGATTTATTTGTTTATTTATACAAGCACTGGGTACAGTCAGAGGCGCGGGAGGGTGAGAGAATTCACCAGAGCCAGAGTGGGGAGCAGAGCAGGCAGAAGGACCGAAGTACACTGCTGAGGGGAGCAGCGGGTGGCAGGAGAGGTCTGCGCGCCATGTGGGACCCTCGCCCGGCAGCCGGGGATCGAACCGGTGCTGTAGAAGCTGCGGGCAGCTTCGCAACCCAGTGCTCAACCGCTGCGCCACCAGGGATGCCCAGAGTTGGCCTTTTTTTAAGACCTTCAATAATCAAAGCTCCATGACAGCAAAGACCACCTAGGGGTTACATTTTCTTCCTTATGCACCCCCATGCCAGTTAGGTGTACAGTTCATCCATAAGACACACATGCAAAAAAAAAAAAAAAAAAAAAAAAGACACACATGCACTTGGAATAAAAGCAAAGCGATATGAAAGTCTAAGTCACAGAAAGCTACTTTTAAGATCAACACAGTAGTACATTGCTCCTCTTTCACCTCCTTATCAATAAAGAAGTCATCATAAACCATAGTTGCAGAAAAGCTCTCAATTTTTGATAGAGGTTTTTCATGGAAAGCCCAGATTGGGCCCAAACAAGACAAAGTGTGGTGGATTTTTTCAGTGTGCGCCATGTAAGTTTCATTTATAAACATGTTATTGAAATGTCTGGCTCTGATAGTCCATCAATCAACTGCATAGAAATAGTTCTCGTTCTCACACTGAATGCAATTTCCCTTCCTTCTAAGGCTAGTCTCCTCTTTCCATGTCAGAATTCACACTGGGAAAACATTCCCACTCAGAGCATTCAAATCCTGAAGAGTCAACCTTTATTTCACAATAAAAAACAATGTTGAACTTCACGGTTTCCTGTACATTAGGAGGACCACTTGGCAATTTCTTATGAAGCTCCATTTATGTCAGGAAACCTGTTGGACAGGAAACCTACAAGTGCGAACATAAAATTTAACGCAAGTCCTCAAAAAAGGAAAGCTGTTTGCCTTGTTATTCACTTCACTTTAATAGGTCTTGCTATATTATAAAATAGTAAAAGACCTGTGGCCTTTGAAAAAGCTTTGAACTAAAGCAAAGCATAACTGGTCTTTTGATCAGAAAATAGCCACGGGATAGTCTTAGCCAATATGAAGATGTGTCATCTTAATGGGGGAATACTATTTTTAAATGCCTAAATTTGGTTAGAATTGAGTGATGAAGGATCTAACTTTAGAAGAAAAAAACACATTTGACACATTGATTTAATTAAGCAATAGAATGGTAGAATTTAAAGAACTCATTTATTTAGTTGCAAATACACATCAAGGCATTATACCAGAAATGGGAGTAGGTTTAACATATTCTGGGACTGTCATGTCTTCAAAAAAGTGTTAAGCAGTCTCTAAGGAACCTTCTTACATTCTATGGAATAAGCTCCAGTGACAACAGTGTGCTTTAAATACAGAACACACACTTCATAAAGTCATGATTTCAGCTAGATTGCTTCAGGCCCAGGTCCTTCTTGGGTCCTACAATTGTAAGCTTTGGGATTGTTAAATTAAGTAAACCGGGAGGTTATTGGGTTGCGGAGGCCTTAATGCTTTACCTAGCTATTTAAGGAAACCAAAACCTAAGCTGGAAAGGCTTCAAAGTTAAGAAATCAAACCCTAAGGACAACCAACCAAACAGCCAACTAGGTTTTCCCAAACAAAGCAGCCACTTACACTAAACCAAATTATTTCCTGACTTTGCTTCTGGGTCTTCTGGATACTACAGGCCCCCATAGTCCTGTGGGCAGTAGAGCATGCCTAACCACTTCCGGCTGCTCAAGTCGTTTATTTTACCCCAATAAACTTATAATAAATTTATAATAAATTTCTACTCTAATAGGGTGAAGAGTTCAATTTCATGGACTTGATCTTCAGTGGAATTTTTTCTTGAATAGTTTCTATTTCAATGACAGAAAATTCTGCCGTTTCTATCTATCCCCGGCCCTGTAAGCCCCCAAAATCTAACTGTTCAGCCTGTGTTTTCCTGAATTTCCCGTTCCACTCAATACATTTATAAACTGATGTCCTGTTGATTACATGCATTGTGTCCTCTTCTGCAGAGTGGCTTTAAAATTATGCTAAACTGGGCCTCTGCTGGTGGCGCAGGCGGTTGAGCGCCGCACTGTGAAGCTGTTCGCAGCCTCTGCAGCAAGTTAGATCCCGGCCGGCCAGTGAGGGTCCCACATGGCACGGCAGACCTCTCCTGTCATGCCCACTGCTCCCCTCAGCAGTGTATTTCATCAATCTGCCTCTGGTGAATCCTCTCACCCTCCTGCACATCTGGCCTGTACCCCGGTTCTTGTATAAATAAATAATCTTTAAAAAAAAAAAAAAGTATGCCAAACTGGCAACGCATATGTGCTCTTGGAGGTGTAAATTGGAAGAATCTTGAAAGCCAACTGGCAATAACCATCAAAGTCTTAAAAGTGTATAAATAACTTTGAGGACTCATTTTCACTTCTGAGAATCTAACCTAAGGCAATAACCAGGTAAGAATACAAAGATGAATGGATGCACGTTAAAGGGTATTCAAACTATAGTCTCTGTCATAAGTGGTTGGTCACATCAGGTCATTAGGTGGGTCCATGCAGTACTTACTGACTTGGGAAGGTACTTATTTAATCTTTTCTTCTGATTTTTTTTCCTATGATGAATGTGAACTGTTTTCCTAACAAAGTGAACAGCACAGGTTAATGCTAGTTTACTTATTTTCTTTGCACATTTACACACTACTCAGAATCACTGATACCTTTAGTTTATTCAGAAAAAATCATTAATCCATAAAACTAATTCCTTAGGTACTACAATTACTATTTAAATGTGGCAAGAGCAGCTATGTTTTGTTACCGAAAGACTGAGATTGAGGTAAAGAGTAACTTATTGAGTTGAAACAATGATTATAAGTGACAAAAGCACCATTTTTTGGTTATTATTTTTAAAGCTGAGAAAAGACAAATAGTATGCATCCTTAGAACCTCCAAATAGTTGCTTCTTACTTAAAACTATAAAGAGCAAGAGAAACAAGGTGATGCAGCAAACACTTTTAATAAGAATCTGAAATTCACACCAGAGGCACATTCTGGGGAATGTAAAGGGACTATTACAAGTAGTAATTCTGCTGGAAGAATAAAATAAGGCTCTCTCAGAGTACAAATATACAGGAGGGAATGATTTAAAATAGGTTTATGCTTTACAATCATATTACATTGTATGAAGCACTGAAAACAGGCATATTAATTAAAAAGCCACCTACAAGGCATCTGAACATATATAACAAATCTTACAGTCCGAAGTCCGTGTACAACAGTAATTTTAAGTACGTCATTTCAACACAAAACAAACGAACAGATGAAAAGATACCACTCAGAATATTAACTTACGTCTATGACAAAAATCAAGAAAACTTCCATTTAAAAAGGTGTACATTACTGATAGAACCACACAGCAAACAGGCCAACCACATTAACACAAAACCAAAGGTGCTGAGCAGTTAAAACATACTGGCCTTTCCTAACCTCATTCTTCTTGGCCCATCACACTGTCCCAAGGTCCTTTTCACTCCCCCCGTGAAAAAATTCCTTTCTCTTTCTCATTTCACAAAAGAAGCCAAGAAAAACCTATCAGTAAACTCAAAAGTTCATTTTACCATAAATCTTAAACGTAGTTTAATACAAAGTAACCCAACACTTATACAGGGTGCTCCTTTCTAAGGAAGGAACTGACACATCAAACATTATCTGAAAGGGGTTTCTTTATGGATTATGTACATTGGTTGAATGAGAATTACTGTATCTGAGAAGGCACATATCTGTGATTTAAGGCTTAACCGGTAGTGTTACATATGGAAGTCAATGAAAGCTGCTTTAGGAATTCACGTCTATCAAAATGGAATTTACCCAAAAACTAGATTTCTAAGCACAGACTTTTACCCTAGAATCCATCAAGAATTTTTATTCCCACAACCACCTGTTACAAAAATTCTTTTAGGCAAGTTTCATTAAAAACCAAAAGAAACTGCTAACATAACCGCTGCCCAAGGACTGTGGGTGATGCAAGTTCATAAGCCTAAAAGTCTCACCAAAATGACAGTATGATTCCTGCATCTTAAAGAAAGAGTCTAAACAAAATGATAACGGTACAGATTCATTTTTAAAAAGACATCTGCCACAACGCCACAGACCAGTCATTCCCTTGAGCTGCTGCCTCGCGTGGATGCTGCAGGAACGCCATATAATTTTACTCTGCAAAATAGTTTCCTTTTAAGACAATACAAGAAAATGAATCTCTTAAAGATGTTTAATATATTCGTATATAAAATATCTGATGTTGATACAAATCATGTAAACCTCCCTTTGGAAAAGTTACAACTGGCCCCCATTTCCAGGACCAAAAACCTTGAATTTTTATCTTGTCAGTGCAAATCTGTATTCGATATTTCAAACTACAGAAATAGCCACCAACCCTCACAATACAAAAGGATTTCTTGAAAAAGGAAAATTATTGTGTTCAGATGATAGAAATTATGTCTACATTAAAACCACCCACCTTCCCCTCAAATTTAACAGCTCGATTGGTAAGGTATGAAAAAGAAATTAAAGCTCTTTGTGCAAGAATTACTATAATGGCGGTCACTCCTCTCTTTCCCAGACTTGGCTTAATTCTACGACGAGTGTTTAGAAATAGAACAACGTGACTTTCTTTTCCCCTCCCAGGCGTGATTTTACTGTTCTTCAAGCCAAGACGGGGCATCCGCTCCAGGAGTTTTCAATTTGATATGGAACTGTTTAAGTGTCTGTTCAAGCTGCTTCTGATTCCCAGCAAAGTAAGCAGCGATGGCGTTGTGGAACAGGACCAGCTGGTTGTGCAGGACTTTAACCTGTAAGCAGCAGAGCAACAGCCAAGGTTAGCAGCACACGGGATACCAGGTGATTTTACCTCAGGTCACAGTTAAGAGTGTGTCTCTCCTCAAGAAAATCTGTTTTAGTAATGACAAAGTATCTCACCATGACCAACTGTACGTTGGGGCTGTACATTGCAGGGTTGCTGGGGCTCTGATGACTTTCTGATCTGTGTAAGGGGAACTGATTATTGATGGCATTTAATTAAAAATGTCATTAAATCCCCACTCAAACCAAGTACACCCAAACTCAAACACTGAAGAGGGAAAACTATATATGTGACTACCACAAAATATATGCTATAGATCAAGCACAGACATCACTGAAGTGGAACTTTTTGTAAAACTATCCACTGTACATTTTCAAATACTGCATCACATTGCAAAGCATCAAACAAAAGGCAGCAAGTATTGTTCAGAATACCCATTAAAGTTCATATGACTGTTATTTTCAATTACTCCTAATGATACAAGAGCATGTTTAAATCAACACTACCTTTATGAATCATTCCTAAAGAAATGAGCAAAGCACCACAAAGATTTTATGAATAAAATTGCTTCCTGAGGTCTTATTTATAACTACAATGTTCAACCATAAAATAGAAATCTATTCTGATTCACCCATCCAATCCAATATTTGTTAATAATGAGCTTTGATAATTTTTAATGATTTTAAAATGTCTGAAATGTAACACTAAGTGAAAAAATAGGTTATAAGATCTTACATATGAGCTGATATCTTTATTCACACACAAAGACACAAGCACATTCTCAAGTCATTTCTTCCTCTATTTCTATACAGGAAATGACAAACTTTCTTAGATTGGTTATTTATTTTAGAGTATTTTCAAAATTAAGAGCATAAATCTAACATACGCTCCAAACCAGAAAGAAGTCTCCTGACTCACTCTTTGCGCTAATTCCCTGTCCCTCCTACTCACAGAGAGAACCACTTTAACATTTTATTAATGGAGCCTTTGAGATATCTTCCAGATATATATATATATATATATATATATACACATACATACACACACACATATATATATAATATTAAAAAACACATGGATTGTACCATATACACTTTCAGTAACTGGTTTTTACTTAAAATATCTTAGGTATCTTTTATTCCATTTTCTTATTCATTCAACAACTAGTTATTAAGTACATTCTATGTGTCAGACACTGTTCTAGATGTTGGAGATATAGGGAAAAAACACCATTCCTCATGAATTTATATTCTTAGTGGGTAGTGAAAGGTTGGAGGGAGGCCAGAAACAAGGTAAGTGCTCAGATTCCTGGGAATTAGTATCTCAAGCCTCGAGATGAAGCTGGGTTAACTCTCTAGCCACTCAAAACCTTTATGGCATCTGCTAATATACCTAAAAGCTGTTAAAAACAAAATGAATTTTTTCTCTCCCGCTGAACAAGATAAATCAGGGATACAGGGTAAGAGGCCAGACAACAGGAGACAATGAGAAGTAAAAAATGCCTGTACAAACTAAAAGAGGTACATCTTGAGTTTATCTAGCCACACATTTAACAAAAACCTTTGGTGCTGGTTTTCAACAGTGATATCAAAACATGTAACACTATGTATCAGGCACTGCATTAGGGACAGCAGAATACAGCCAGGCAGCACCACAATGTCTACGTCAGAAACATACACGATGGCGGTTCCCCAGAGTCTACACGCAGAGCCTAGATGTGCAGTGGGTCAGACAACGTAGGTTTGCGTATGACTTTTGCATAATGACGAAACCACCTAAAAATGCATTTCTCAGAAGATATCTCAGTTGTTAAGCAATGCATGAATGTTTGAAGATAAGCAAGGCAAGGGGTAGAGAAAATGATTAGTATGATAAGTGGTACTAAAATGACATTGGGTTAACTTAAAAAACAAGTAGTGGAGAATGGGATTTTTTAAAGTAAGGCTGTGTTAGAACATTGGCATCGAACTCTAACTTCCCTGCCCTCTGGTTCTGACAGATGGGGGGATATTTCGAAGCACAAAGTCCCAACCAAGAAGCCATTCGTAAGGGAACAGGATATTCATGAGAAAGGCAGGTTTCTAGAAGGCAATTTAAGAGGCGAGACTATTCTATACAGCGGACTGTTACAGCTCCACAGAATTCCCCTTCTCAACATCCACACTCTTGGGGCATCTTCCACAATGAAAATGAATCTGGCCACGTAACATGAGAAAATGAGCCCTGACAAGTAAGGCCTACCCTCTTGCGCTACTGTTGCCACCCTGTGAGGAGGCCCAGTTTGGCCACCTTTGCCTTCGAATGGAAGCCCAGTAAGGATCAGTTGGTCCAGCTGTGGCCACCCTGCGGCCTACCAGCTGAAAGTGAAACCAGAGGACCCCGCCTGCACAATCCATATAAAATGCATCATCATTGATCTAAGTCACTAAGTTCTGCCTGTTTTGTTATGCAGCAAAAGGTTAAATGGTAAACTACTAGAAACGTGAAGAATGCTGTTTCCTAGCAATGGAAAAGGATTTTAGGAGACACATTAAAAAGGAAGCAAATCAAAGCAGGGAAGAACAGGCTTGGAAAGAGGAAAGGATAAGCTGGGTGAGAAATAAAGGAAGTGAAGACAGACCTGTACCTGGGGAGGGCAGGACTCAGGGGTGGTGGTACATGAGAGAAATAAGAGAAAAAAGCTAGAGAATAGAGAGGCAAACTGCTACTAAGTAATCCCAAGATCAAACTGCACTTCTGGAGTAAATGTAACATATTGGGTTGTCGGGAAAGTCCTAACACATTTTTGCTTGAAAAACAGGAAAAAAATAGGTCATGACTTTTCCGACAACCCAGTATCTTTGAGAACTTTTACTTCCAATTTTTCTGGAAAGACCCAAAGAAGGTGCTCAGGACAGGTTCCAAGTTTTGTCACTTGGTATGCAGATTATTCCGAGCGAAGGTCAATGGACTTAGCGGGCACAAGACAAACCCACATCTCTCTCATACACAGTATTGCCCAGATTTAGGGTTATCTCCAGAAATAACCTTTCTAGCTGAGAAATCCATCTAGATGGCAGGGCAAACATATTTACAGAGCACCGGGTCCTTTCATCATGTGAGCTCCTGTCCCCTCTCCTTGAAGTTCCTATTCCATTCCTGGCTCAGGATATCTACCCTCATCCCCCTCATTGAAAATGGAATTCTAATTCTCTATGAAATTCCCAGTATGCATGTAATAAATGCCTGATGTTCTTCTGACTGCTTGATCTACTCAAGAAGAACCTAAAGGTGGAGGGGGGGAATTTCCCCTCTGCTCCTACCCTAACAAACTGCACCCCACATAGATTGACAAGGGTCACAGCCTCCTCAAATTTGTATTTGTTATTTGTCTAGGTCATTTGTAAAATACCCCCATTACTTGTACTGTGTTCCTTTATAAAAATATACCAGTAAGAGCTTTGAAATTATAAAAGTTAACATTTTTATTTGAAAATGGAACCAGAGCAGCCATTCCAAAGAACCTGCTTGTTCATCCTATTCCTTGAACTCCTGAACTGAGCCAAACTTCACTTGTTTTGAGAAACCAGCAAGCAAATAATGTTGGGGAAGTCATCTCCAGCACAAGCCGGGATGATTTTGGATAGGATCAGTAAGGAATTACATGTAGCCAAGAGTAGTCTAAGCTAATCAGCACTGTTAGAGAACTCTTTTTCAACCACTTATCTTAACTTCCTCTTTTTTTTTTTTTAAAAAAAGGAAGAGTGTTTTTTGTTTTTTTAAGATTTATTTATTTTTATGCATACAAGAACTGGGGTACAGGCCAGAGGTGAGGGGGGGGGGTGAGAGGATTCACCAGAGTGGGAAACAGAATAGGTGGACTGACTGAAGCACACTGCCAAGGGGAGCAGTGGGTGAGTCAGGAGAAGACCGCCATGTGGGTAGCTCTCTGGCTGGGGATCGAACTTGTGCTGTAGCGGCTGTGGACAGCTTCATAGGCTGCGTCCTAACACCCTGTGCCACCAGGGAGGCCCCAACTTCCTCTTTTCTTTCCATAAGAACCTCTACTTTTGTTCCTCCTCAGGCACTGTTCAGATTCCTACTCAAATCTGTGCTCCCTGAGTTGCAACTGCTTGATCCCAAATAACACACTGCCTCCTGAGTTTTGGGTTAAGTGATTCAGGAGGCCAGCAATGCCAACCTTAGCTGCACAGCTTCCCAGTTTTCCTTGTGATATCAGACACAGATTAATTCTTGCTTCACTGGCCAAACTCTTTATCTGTTTATCAGGGACATCATTACCAAACTGCATTTGTAGTATTGTCGTGAGGGTCAAATGAAATGAGATACTACATAGCAAATTCAATTAAAATACCTAAACTCATTCAGTTTTAGTGGAATCTAAGTTTACCTATTTGACAGTCAAATCTTCAAATTGCATTGACTTCAAGCACTGATTACCCTACCTAGTATGCCTTCAAAATCAAGATATAAATTTAAATAAGAATAGTAGGTTGGATTCTTAATCAAACCATCACTAAACTTAAAAAGAAGGAAGTTAAAATAAATTCCTAACATGAATATACTTTCTAAACTATATGAATTTGAAAACCTAGAATATTACTTAATTTTCCCTTTAAAAAGCAGCTGCAACACATTTTTAATTTTTTCAATCTTGGTAATAGGTGCTGTTAATATGTGTGCTTCAGTTTCAATAATACTTAAAAATATATTATTTGACTTGTTTATCAGGTTCACTTTACCAGGCTAGTTGGTCTTATAAAGCTCATTCTAGGAGATATTCTGGTTCCTCACGTAGAACAGATTAGAGGAAGAAAGTAAGGGTGTGAGAAAGGTCAAAACCTCCTTTTAGCAGAAGGGGCAAAAAGCCAAAATAATTGAGGAAATATTTCAGGGTCATTACACATTCTTAATTTACCTCAAAACTATGTTATCAGATCATGAGAAGTGATAACCACATACAATCAAAGAAACAGCCAAGTAATTCTG